TTTTTTTTGCTGATAAACTAAATAAATGAGTGTCTAATCGTGCTGCAGACACGTGTCGTCAATAATTTGGCTCTTCAGTGCATCTTAGTTAAAATTTAAATATTCTGCCTAAAACTGGCAGTGTTGTGTCGTCGTCAGGTAAAAACTCTGCACTGTATTTTAATTTAAATCTGCCACCGCTATTGGCTAAGAGGTATGCTATGATGTAAACTGGTACATTATGATGTCACAATGCTGTCGTGAGACTGTGTGTGTGTGTGTGTGTGTGTGTGTGTGTGTGTGTGTGTGTGTGTGTGTGTGCATGTGTGTGGGCATAAGTGTAGGTGTGTGTGTGTGTGTGTGTGTGTGTGTGTGTGTGTGTGTGTGTGTGTGTGTGTGTGTGTGTGTGTGTGTGTGTGTGTGTGTGCATGTGTGTGGGCATAAGTGTAGGTGTGTGTTTGTGTGTGTGTGTGTTTGTGTGTGTGTGTTTGTGTGTGTGTGTGGTGTGTGTGTGTGTGTGTGTGTGTGTGTGTGTGTGTGTGTGTGTGTGTGTGTGTGTGTGTGTGTGTGTGTGTGCATGTGTGTGGGCATAAGTGTAGGTGTGTGTGTGTGTGTGTGTGTGTGTGTGTGTGTGTGTGTGTGTGTGTGTGTGTGTGTGTGTGTGTGTGCATGTGTGTGGGCATAAGTGTGTGTGTGTGTGTGTGTGTGTGTGTGTGTGTGTGTGTGTGTGTGTGTGTGTGTGTGTGTGTTAGCGGCTCTGCCTTCTCGGTCTGCCAGGCAAGAGTTAGACTCTGGTAGGGGGTGACTTGCTCTTTAAACACACTAGATGAGACTGCAGGAAACCCCAGAAAGGTGCTACGCCCCCTGCTGTCCTGGTGGAGAATCGCTTCACAACACTGTCACCAACAGAGAAGTATAAAAGGAACATATCTTTGTGTGTGTGTGTGTGTGTGTGGGGGGGGGGGGGGGGGGGGGGTAGGCTTGTCTGATAGGCTGCTGCTTGCTTCATCATCATTTCTGCTCAGGTGATGTACAAGAACATAGACGAGTGCAGAGAAGATGAAGAAGTCCGAGGAGCATCGCTGAAGAGAAGAGAAGAAGAGCGAGGTCTGAAACATTAAGCAGGATTTTATTTTATTGTTGTTGTTGTTGTTGTTGAAATGAAAACAAATATGTTAAAGATAAATAATAACTCTTGAAGCTGAACTGAACCCTAACCCTTTTGGATCATGAAACATTTTCACATGAAGGACTCCTCCTCCTCCTTCCTGTTAGCAGAGAGCCTTCCTCTCGTGTGACCTGGCGCCGTCGTTAGCTGTAGCAGGCTCCGTTAGCTCAGGCAGCAATGCATTATGGTCCGTTATATCTCACCAGCTGGGGAGTCCTCAGGACTCCGCATTGACATTCAAACAAGTTCCCCTTTCTCTCTCGCTCACAGATCACCGTGACGATGCAGAGGAGATGAAGCTGAAGAACATCTACCAGCTTTCCTGATGTCCCCATCCAATCAGAACGCTTCTATCAGTTAGAGTCCTCTGACCTCATCACTGAAACCAAGCTTTATTCATAGAGCGAACAGGAAGTGAGCCCCAACAGAAGTCTCTCTGCCTGTTTTGTGGACCTGGCGTCCGGGGCGTTTTGGTCTGTGGAGTGTTTTGAACATTTTTGATTTCTAACAAATAAAAATCCTAAAAGCTGAAAGAATTATAATTAAATTTTTGAAGTAAAAGTTTTCAATCATTTTGTTTTCAAATGATCGTTTTGAACTTTGTAAATCAGAAATGATCCCACTGTGTTGGGCTGATCCGTTTTGAGCTTCGTCTCTTTTGTGATTGATCAGAAGCATGATTGTGTTTTTCAGTCATGTTTGATTTTAAACTGCAGAAGGTTAATTTTCTATTTTACTGTCAATGACATTCACAAGCTCTCTGCTGAGGTCCTAAATAAAGTCAACCAAGCTGTTGGACCTGACCTGCGTGACGTTTGTTTCATTTTGTAGGAACTGAGCGGGTCTTTGTCGTTCCACAGCCTCTAGAATCGGTTGTACAGATTACGTTTTACTGTAAAGGATCAACACCCAGATCTAAAGCACTAAAGGTACCGTGTGTCATGGAGAACGCTGACGTTCTAAAGGTTCCTCATGCACATCTGATCAGGGGCGGATTTAGCAATTTCGGGGCTCAAGGCAAGCAAAGACATGAGGCCCTCCACAGCTGTTGTTCTGATTTAGTTTTTAATTCTCATTACAAAAAGGTTGAATAACTTCTTCACTGGTCCAGTCTTGGATGGCACTGATGTCAAGAATCTCTGGAACTGCATCTGAATGGAAAAGTGTGTTTAACAAATATATTTAGCATGAAATCATTTGATTTGTACAAAAATAATGATATTCATGTTTGTATTGATTTATTGCTCACCCACTTATTCTCTTCTTTTTCTCTGGTGAAACACCTCTATCTCATGCCTTAAGCCTGATTTATGCTTCTCCGTCTGCGTCAGTGCGGAGACACGCAACGCCATTATCCGTCCTTGCGTAGAGCTCCGGCAGGCACGCAAGTACGTACGGAGTCGAGCCCACTTTTTTAAACGTCCGTCGAACGAGACGGATTACGCAAGCTTGTGATTGGTCAGGACGCCGCTGTTGTTTACAGCGCCGCCACTGCAAAGAGAGCTGAGGATAACTAGCGGCAGACACGGAGAAGCTTGAAGAATATCTCGCAAAAAAACTCTAAAAATATGAACGTTTAATTCTCCCGTGACTGGAGGAGTGAAAAGATGCACAGCAAGCGTTTTATTTGTGGATGGAAATGACAGGAAACGTGGGTTTAGAGGTGGGGAGCGCATGAAGAGGTGGGAGAATGAGAGACAAATATGTCCGTGTTAAAAGTCTCTTATATACACAAAAAACACAATATAAACACACGATCTTGGACCGATACATGACAGGATACCACAGAACAGCGCTACGCCCTCTGTGGTCCTGCCGGGGAATTGCTTTGCAACGCTCTCCAGGAGACGGAGAAGTATGAGAGCAAAACGCTTCCGTCAATCCGTGCGTGTCTGTCCCTTGCGGAGCTGACGGAGAAGCATGAACCAGGCTTTAGTTAGTCTGCTTTCACTAAAGGAAGCAATAAAACATGAGACAAAATGGTTAAATATGTAGATACAGAAAAAATTACATAACCATGTCAAAGTTACCATTTTCTACCTTTGCTTTTATTTCCTTCTCTCTCTTCTGAGTCTTGCCTTGAATGCTTTCTTTCTTTCTCTCCTCCTCCGCTGCTCCTTTAATCATCTTGCTTCTCTCCTTTCCCCGTTTCTTGAGCTTTGTAGATTGTTTCTTCTCTCCTCCTCCTCCTCTCCTCCTGCATCACCGCAACTTGAGCTTCCAGCAACAGACTCCTCCACTTCGCTAAAAGCGTTAGCATTGCTAGCTCTAATGCTAGCGGCAGCTTCTTGTTCATTTGCCGCATTAAATTTGCGACTTTCATTGGTGTTACTCTGCTGTAGCACCGTAAAAAAATCTGGGACCTTGGGCAGGGTTGACACAAACGTTTTGCTTTCTTCCTGCTTCTTAAATTTTTGAGCCACATGGATAACTTCGCTTCATTTTCTTCTCAGACAACAAACGTCCTCTTCTATTCTTTGCTTCCGCAGCTCCGCTGATACGTAGCAAGTTGTGGATGGAATAGCCCATGGTAGCTGGGCAACGGGGGACACTGAATCACTTTCACAGAAAGCAGTCTCACACCAATTCATTACAATGCGTTTTACAATGACAGGGTTCACTCGTTTCAGAGCGAAACATAGCTTAAACATATTAGTTAAGTGTTTTTCATGGGGCCCTTCAAGCTTTTGAGGCCCAAGGCAATCGCCTACCTTTGCCTGATGGTGACGCCGCCTCTGCATCTGATGGATGAAGACACAATGAAAACTAAACTCTGGATGTCTTCAGTCAGTTTGTACCAGGGCAGCTGTGGCTACCATGTAGCTCATCACCACCAGTGTGTGCATGACTGTAGTGTTGTAAAGCACCTTGGGGGGCTGTAGGATTCTAGAAGATGCTATATAAGTAAAACTCTTTACCACCGGTTTCCTAAATGTTTGTTTTATGCCACAATAATCTTATTATTATTATTTATTGAGTCTGAAGACAGAAATCCTCTTTTCCAGGTGGGCTTGTCTGTCTCTGTGACCCTGTGATGACCCCAGAAGCATCCTCCTAGCAGCCGTCTTTTACCCTGTCTGAAGGACAGGACATCTGTAGCTCTGATCAGACCGCGAGTTGCAGATTAATCTGGTTCAATAAAGACTTGAACGCCTTAAACCCTGACCCTAAATACCCGTGTATACAGGTCACAACAAACAGAGTGAGTCAAATCCTCAATGCAGATTATTCAGCATGTTTGGGCTCAGAGGGAAACTGATCAGTGATTAATATGCAGGCGAGGCATCACTGGACAGGTTTACAGCCGCTGGACTTTGGTTGTGACTAACCATAAACAGGTGAGTTTACCTGAAGACAGTTGAAACCTGTTAAAATCTACTCTGTTATCGAAGTCATGAAGCACGCTAATCGTGACCCTCATGGACGTGTCTGGTTATTGTAAACGTTTGAGAGGAAACCTGCTTCTGTGGTGATTCTAGGGAGGGTCAGCCCTTTTAATTATCAGCTGATAATGAGCCAGAAAACAAGTCAATAAAAGCTGATCACAGATCAGAGTCGCTCCAGAAACCTCAGCTCTTCACCTGCAGCAGGTAAATCTAGACGACTTTCTCTGATTAACTGAAACGTATTCATTTATGTTATAGTTTGATTTATCAACAAATCATTTTAATTAGGCCAAACACGTTTAATTTAGAGGGCCTTCTCTCTGGAATAAACAGTCCAGCTAACCAACTACGATCCTGTGAACGAGTGTTTGTGAGCACGCGGCTCTATGACCGGAGGCTCACCTGTGCAGGTATTGTTTTATTTGAATTGTGTATTGATGATTCCGCTCTGATCTGCTTTATCCTAATTCTGCCTTCCAGGATGGCTCGACGTCTGTCATCTTTGGAGTTTCTTCTCTGCATCATCACTTTCCTTCTTCTGATCTGCTGTGTCTCCCTGATTGTTGTTTCTTGGATCAGCCTGAAGCCGACAGGTAACCACACTGATTTTAATCACATGATGAGGTTGCACCAGGTGCTGAAGTTGTGACGCCATGTGTCGTGTACTCAGGTCATCATGAACCTGTGCAACTGTCGGCTCAGATGGTGATCGTATCTGGAGCTGAGTTTTCAAATGACCTGAAGAATCCGAGCAGTCCGATGTTTAAATCGTTGGCTTTTGACATCCAGCAGCTGGTGAGATTGTGAGCTTTTAATGTGAAAGATCACAGGAACAGACTGCCGGAGAGTTTATTGAGTAATCCTGACAGGTCCGTGGTCACATGACTACTGTTCTTCACTGATGTGCTTCGTCTTCAGCACCTTAAACTGAGCTGTTGTAAAGGAATCTCCTACCATCTTTATGCAGATGACATCCAACTGTACATCTCCTTTAAGGCCCGTGAGATGTCTAAGCTGCAGCTGTTCCACACCCGCTTGACTTAAAGCAATGCCGGGTCGCCGTCTTACTGGGCCTGTACAGGCTATCGGCGGACCACTCAAACAACCCCAAAGTCACCGTAAACTGAGCATCCTCCGCTGGACATCAGAGAAACTCAACACCATCTGGACGCTCTCCTGGTCTCGCTGCCTTGGTTTGCCGGTCTGTGGTTATAAACGGCGTCCAGTGCGTTGTAGCACCTCCGCATATTTCTCCCATTTCCATCAAAAACAAAAAAATCCTCTCCGGTTGTTTCTGTCCCTAACTTTTCTATATTGGCCTTTAATTTTTTCAGCTTGGCCTGACAGTATTCCGATGCCCGCTAGAAAACAAAACGTCCTCACCGATCCGTCCGGCTGACGGTGAGGAATGCATGGAGCTCTGAAGATGACCAACACTTGCTGCTACTTGCTGGCATTTTTTTTTTACATTCATGTACAACTACTGAAGATACAAACAACGCAACTCCATTTGTTTTGCTTGTCACAAGAAGTGACTTATTTCTGTCAACCAATCAGTGGACTGTGTTGTTGCTCCGCCCTAGCATACCGCTCCAGAAATGTCTGGACCTACAACTGCCGTGGTCCAGATAGGTTCTCTGGACCGGTTTCACAATCGGAACAGAAAAATTAGGTGGACAGCCCCCGCCCGTTCCATGCCAAAAAAGGTGGCTGGAAATGAGGCTTAAGGCTCCTCCCCTTCCGGTTGGCTCATAGGTCCCTGTACAGGGCTATGGACTATTTTTTCATCTGCTTTAACTTACATCCTGAATCACACAAATGCTCCAAGTGCTCCAGTTTTGACCAGAAATTTAGATTTAGTTTTAGTCTGTCTTTTTTTGACTTGTCACAATTTCGTTTCTTTTCATTTCGAGTCTTATCTTAGTCATCTACGGTAAAAAATAATTTTAGTTGTAGTATTGTAGTATTTTTCTTTAAGTGAAATCGTTTTCAAGTCTGGACTCAAAAACTGCTCCAGTAGGTGACTGGCTGACTGCGATGGGCAGAGCAAGGCCCGTTCCTCCTTCGTTTATAGTAACAGGCTACCGCTAGCAGCACGCATCAAATTCAAATTGCTAACACTAGCATACAAAGTCCGAGACGGTACGGCTCCCATCTACCTGAATCCTCTTGCAAAGGTTTACGTCTCGGCCCGGCCGCTCCGGTCATCACAGGACCGTCGGCTAGCAGTGCCTACACCACGCTCAGGACAATCCAGACTCTTCTCCTGCATCGTTCCACAAATGTGGAATGACCTTCCAAGCACTACCAGAACTGCGGCTTCCTTTTCTATTTTCAAGAAACTCCTGAAGACCCTGCTCTTCAGAGAGCATCTTCTAAACTAGCACCCTCCCTGCACCCGTCCCCCCTCTCTACTGTCCACTCCTTGTTCCCTACTCTCCATGACTGATGTCAATGTGTTGTTGTTACTGTTGTTGTTAGCCTCAAGGACAATATGCCGATTATCACGTGTAAGTCGCTTTGGACAAAAGCGTCTGCTAAACACATAAACATAAACAGGCAGTCACCCGATGCAGAGTGCATCGGCACATATGGCCTAAGCAGGCCAGACATGTATGCAGATGACAGGCTGTTCAGTGCCTTAGGCAAACTGTAAGATCTTCAGTCATATCCTGCAAAAACAGGAAGCCAGTGAAAGCTGGTGTGATATGACGCCGCCTGCTCGTATTCGTCAGAACCCTTGCAACGTTCTGAACAATCTGCAACTTGCAGGAGGACCAATGAGCAGTGTTTGCATAGTTCAGACGATGTGATGTTGACCTGCAGTACCACTGTTTATTGGTGCCTGGCTTGGACAAATATTTAACACCAACTTGTGAGACACCAGGAAAACTGGAAATATAAGGCAAGAATTAATACACCAGACATGTGTCTTAACTCTATAAAGACTCTGTATTATGGAAAAGTACCGGAAGTATGAGCTTTGAGTTAGTCCAAAAGCTTTCTTTTAGGTCTGATGAGCGCAATTACAGTAAAAACCATGTTTCCATGAAAAACCATCATGGATGTCTAGCAGCAGACGAAATGTTCAGCAGTGGATCAAAATCAAAGCCAAACAGAAAACATCTACGTTTCCATTCCTGTCGTGATCCTGCCATGCCCTGACCACCATGCACCATCATTTATCACACCTGGTTCCCTCCTCAAGCTCATGCCACACATAAGATCTGGCCTGCTCTGCAGCCACTGCCAGATTATTGAACGCTTCTGTTAGTAAATCTTCCATCCTTATTCATCTTGCCTGATCATAGCCTCCCGACCTCGTTTCCACGCCTGACCCTCGTCAAGAATTCTGCATGCCTCCACGTCTCTCGCCTGCTCCTTGTACTTGCTTCGTCTCCACCTGGTTCCGACCCACGCTTGCCTTCGACTCTGCCTTTACCTGAGTTTTACTCCGGTAACACCTCCTCTTGGCTTCAGGCTAATAAAGACTGTTAAATCGTCTTACTGTGTTTGGTGTCTTCTCGGGTCCTCAAGTTCTGGTCATGACAGTTCCAGTAACTTCATCTCTATGGTTATTCCCAAAGCTCGCACCTCCTTTGGCCGCTCCTCATTCCAGTTTGCTGCTTCCAACAACTGGAATGAGCTGCAAAAACCACTGAAGCTCACTACCTACTAGGGTTGTCACGGTATGAAAATTTAACCTCACGGTTATTGTGACCAAAATTATCACGGTTTTGGGTATTATCGCGGTATTTTTTAAACGGTGTTGCATATGTTCAGAAAGCATTGATAGTCCTGTTCTACACAAACTGAAATAGTTCTGAAAAAGTTTAACAGTGTTTATTAAACCTAAAATAACACAAAGCCTTAGCAAAAGTGCAACTTTTCACAAGTAAAGGAACAAATAGCTTATTTTTCTGGAACATGTTACAGTAGTCAGTGCAGGTTTAAATGATACAAATCCAAACATTCGAAACATAAACAATATGTAAACAAATCAAAGAAACACCACTTGTTTTCTTCATTATCAAAATGAAAATCTAAAACTCCAGTCCACACTTGACTTGAGCGCTGTACAAGTCAACCTTAAAAAATATGTATTTAAAATAAATAGCCACTTTAAACAAATGACTAAAATAACTACTACACTATGTAATCAAATCCAAACGTTCAAGTATAAATGGCATTGAATAAGTAAACAAATCAATGACAAGGAACTAATTGTATATTTCTCTTCATCATCAACAAATACGATGCTTCATCCAGCAACAGGGTGTCCGTGACACGGTTTAAATGCTGGCAGAGGACGCTGCGGCTGCAGTATATAGTGACTCGTTGCATTCTCCCTCAACCAAAAGTCCTCACGTCATGCATTTAAGCTAAAATGCTAATGTTAACTTACCTTGCACTGGCTGTAGAGACGTGGGTGATCGTCACGCAGATGTGCCATTAGATTCGAAGTGTTGCTGCCTTCTGCAGACACTTGTTTCCTGCACGTTCTGCAAACGGGATAGCCGTCTTCTATTAACTGTCCCTCAGCATTTTTCAGAAATCCAAAATATGCCCATACTTCCGATTTAGTCTTCTTTGAGGGCTGATGGATGTCCTGGGCGCTGCCGTCTCCTCCTTCGGCCATTATTTCAGCTTCAAAGTTTTGGTGCCGTTGCAAATTAAAAAGTGCGTGTGCGCGCCGCGGGAACTTCAGCTGAAGCGACGGTGGCTGGTAAGGGTCACCGCGCCGAAACCGCGGCCACGGTAAACCCACCGAGATAATTTAGTTTTTTAAAAACTGGACGGTTATTTTTATTGTCAACTTTTTTACCGGGGTTTACCGCTATACCGGTTACCGTGACAACCCTACTACCTACATTCCATTATCTACCTTCAATAATTGATGGTGATCAACAGTTTCTGATCAGTGTTCCTGCTTCTGAGTTTTAAAGTCTGTTCTGATAGCTTGTACATATTATACATGAGAACAGTTTTTTGTCTTTGTGTCTGTTTTATCTCATCTGTAGTTCTTTGGCTGCTGCTGCCTCTGGGCCAGGTCCTTGTTGTAAATGAGAATCAGTTCTCAATCCGCTCTTCTGCTTAGATAAATAAATGAATAACGACCTGTGGACACTAGGGATGTGAATCTCCACCTCTGAGGCGATTCGTGTCTCGATACGCTGCCAGTGATACGACAACGGTACGGTGAAACCTGAGCCGACGCTTCGATACCATTCACCTCTGCTCACCATTCATTATTGATTTGAAAACGATTTTCAATTGGATACAATTGATGATGGGATGTATAACCATTCAAAAGAATTTCCAAGCCCACATCTGGTTTTTAAACGTCACCACAATGTTTTTCCCTCTCGTCTGAAGGATTTGTTTGACCTTCTACTGTCTGATGTATCAATCAATTCAGCATGAAAGACGATGCACTTTATCAGTCATATTTACATATTATACGTATTTTATTGCTACACTACTCTGCTGAAACAGGAGGGTTGAACTGAGGTTAGACAGTGACTGCACTCAGAAAAATAACCCAACAGAATCAGAAAATGATTAGTGTTCATCTTGTAATTATTAGAGATTATTATGAAACACTTTAAGCATCTGCACATAACTTTTAAACATTGTACTGATCCATAACGGGCTCCAGTGAGAGCTGTTGTAGCTAAAGTCACTGGTTACTGGACTTCTCTGAACCAGGACGGGAGAAATTTCACTGGAGTGTTTTTGTTAACTGCACAAATGTTGCAATAATAAGGAATTATCTTACGTTACTTCACGCAACGCTTCAGCTTTGCAGATCCATAAGAATACTCATAAAATATGCTGCTGCAGACACCGTAACCTCGCGGAGAAGTTTATTTTATTTTGGCAAGTTGAGACAGGAAGCAGGTACATCGACTAAGATGGTCCTCTTTCTCTTTGATCTTTTCATGTGTTTACAAGATGACCCCTAATAACTGAACAACCACTGCTGTTTTGTTGCCAAGCTGAAGCTGTTAGTGTTTTTGTTATCGTAAATTTTACTGTATTTATACTTTTGTGACTGTGTCATTATTAATGTGTTTTTGTTTACCTGTTTTTCGTTACTGTATTTTTTACCATGTTTTTTAAAAGAATTTTGTTAATGTGTTTTTGTCATCATATTTTTGTTACCATAACTTTTACTATATTCTCCATAGCAGCTTCAGACCCATCTCTAAACTTCCGTTCATCTCCAAGATCTTGGAAAAGGTTGTGGCTAAACAACTCACAGCTGCTCTTGATGAACATAACATCTATGATATCTTCCAGTCAGGTTTTCGTAGAGCTCATTCAACTGAAACAGCTCTTCTTAGGGTCTCTAATGACCTTCTGACTCACAATGATGCAGGGGACTGTTCTATTCTGGTCCTGCTGGACCTGACTGCAGCCTTTGACACTGTTGACCATCACCTGCTACTGGAGAGGCTGAGAGACTGGGTAGGCCTATCAGGATCTGCTCTGGAGTGGTTCTCCTCTTATCTCTCTGAGCACTCCTTTTCTGTGGCCATCTCCAAGTTTAGGTCCTCCGCCACCTCCCTTACCCATGGTGTCCCACAAGGTTCTGTGCTGGGGCCTCTGCTCTTCCTACTCTATCTGTTTCCTCTTCAGCTTATCCTGAGCTCCTTCAAAGGAATCTCCTACCATCTTTATGCAGATGACATCCAACTGTACATCTCCTTTAAGCCCCATGAGATGTCTAAGCTGCAGCTGTTACACACCTGCTTAGACTCTATCAAAACCTGGATGGTTGGGAGCTTTCTACAGCTGAATGAAGATAAGACTGAGATCCTCATCTGTGCCCCAGACAAGCTGGTTCCCAAAGTCAGAGACTCTCTTGGTCAGCTTGCTTCCCACACCAAACCTTCTGTCAGGAATCTTGGCGTGACCTTTGACCCAGCTCTCACCCTGGATTCTCATGTCAGTTCTCTTGTTGGCTCTTCCTTCTTCCATCTCAGGAACATTGCTAAGCTGAGTCCCATTCTGTCCCGCTCTGAACTTGAGACAGTTCTCCACACCTTCATCTCCTCACGCTTAGACTACTGTAACTCTCTTTTCACGTGTCTGAGCAGAACCTCCCTGAACCGTCTACAGGTGGTTCAGAACGCCTGTGCTCGGCTTCTGACCAAGTCCTCCAAACACACCCACATCACCCCGCTTCTCCTCCAGCTTCACTGGCTGCCAGTCAACTTCAGGGTTCATTTCAAGATCCTGGTTCTGGTCTATAGGGCCTTACATGGACAAGCGCCATCTTACATTGGTGATCTTCTTAGTCCCTACACCCCCAGCAGGTCCCTGAGGTCCAGTGACCAAAGCCTACTTGTTGTGCAGCACCAGGCTAAAGGTCAAAGGTGACAGATCATCGGCTGCTGTGGCCCCCAGACTCTGGACCTCTTCCCCCTGAGCCTGACATCAGTGGACTCAGTGGTCTCCTTTAAACTCACCTGTTCAGGCTTTGGTGGGACCTTCATCACCCTCTCCTTGTTCTGCTCTCCCCACCTATTCCACCTTCCTCAGGATCCACTGATTTCCCTCTTTCCTATTCATTCTCTCTTTCTTTACATTTTTAATCCCAATTGTCTATTTGTTTTTTTGCCTTTTTAAAATATATTTTTAATCATTTTCTAAATTCTTTTTATATTTTAAATGTTTTGTTTTGTGAAGCACCTCGTGATTTTTCTCTTGAGAGGCGCTATAGAAAAGCTTGTTTCTTCTTCCTCTATATCTATTTACAGTATTTTTATTAACGTGTTTTTGTTTATGACTATTTGTCACTGTGTCCTTATTAAAGTGCTTTTGTTACCGAGTTTTTAATAAAAGTGTATTTTTTACCGAGTTTTATTTCTTTGATGCATTTTTATCACCGTGTTTTGTTAATGGGTTTTTTGCTATCATGTTTACATTAACATGTTTTTATTACCGTATTTTTTACTGTA